GGAAGTGGAAAAGCTGCCTTTTCATATTTCAACTGTTGTTTAAATACACAAAGACCTCTTTAGAGCAAAGTAAATCTAGGATAGTGATAACATTTTACAAAGGAACTTTCCTGTAGTGCTTCATCTCATTTTATCCTTTCAGCCACTGGGCCTCTACTTTACCCCCACTCTACAAAGAAAGAGACAGGCTCAGAGAAGTACAGCAATGCATTCAGTGTCTACCAGCTAGTAAGTGGCAGAAAGGGGATTTAAACCTACCACACCCAGTTAATTTTTGTATTTTTAGTAGAGACAGGGTTTCACTGTGTTGGCCAAGCTGGTCTTGAACTCCTAATCTTAAGTAATCTGCCCACCTTGGCTGCTCAAAGTGCTGGGATTACCGGCATGAGCCACTGCGCCCTCAGGCAGTAATCTGGATGGGGAAATGCAGTTGGCATGCACACTGTGCTGCTGTGGTCACTGTGACAGCCTGGGTGGAGTGCCACCTGCGTGATGCTGCAGGGCAGCTGTGGCATCTGCCTCCTCCTTTCCTTATGGCTTTGGGTCCCCAGCCAGGCCAGGGCTAAGTGCTGCACAGGTGCAGGGTGAGGTCAGGCCCAGTCATCCCGGCTCATGGCCCCCACATGAACCCCAGGATGGCACCGCAGAGAACTCCTCCAGCAGGTGGACCAGCAGACGAGGGAAAGCCCAGCCCGAGCAGGCCGAGCTGGGGAGTAGTCAGTACCGGAAGTGCCTTCCGGACATGCCCTGCCCTCAGCCCGCTGTGGGCGGCGGATTGTGGTGATGGCTGACCTGCCGCTCTCCACACCTGTTTCCTTTCTGGCATTTCCAACACTTTACTGGAGTTTGGTTTCTGGGAATTCTCAAACAGGAGCTTGCAGAACCAACTCAAGAGCTTGTTAAAACACAGATTCTGGGGGCCCTACCCAGATCTGAGGGGGGCCTGGAATCTCTCTCTCCCAAGCTTTCAGTGGCCCAGAATCCCTAGGTGGTTTCTGCTGCGCTGGTGGCATCAGGGGAGCCCTGGGTGCCCAGGCTCAGGCTGGAATGAATAAAGAGGTGCCAGGCCCTTGTGCAGTGGTTGGGATACTTAGCAAGAGGCACCCTTGGGGGAGCAGCTCCAGGGCACCTCAGGAGGTGGGGCTGAGGCCCTGCTGTCCCCACAGAGCTCCCCTCCACGGTTCACCTTAGGGGACCATCTTGCTGCTAAATCTTGGGTGAGCAAATCTAGGAGCACCTGGCAATGTGCCAGCATTCAAAACCACAGAATCATCCCAGAGAAGTGATTTCATCCAAATATGGAGGGTAAGATATTATTTTTATACTAAAATACATGTGGTTGTTTTATGTAAGATGAAGCAAAATCCATATTAAAAAGTTACCATAAAACATGGCCTTCCAGAGAAACACTCAGCTTCACCATGGAGGCCACAGCATGGAGACCTGGGTGTGGGCTCCCCCTTCCAAGGGGTCTGGGAAGCCCAGCCTCGCAGGCAGGTGCATTTGTTCATACAGGAGCCAGCCTGTCCCACCAGACGCTGCGAGTCCTCAGGGACCCAGGGCCTGCAGGGGGTCTCTGTGTGCCAAAGAAGAGATGGGAGGAGTGGGCCCGGGGGGGGGGGGGGGGGGCAGACAGGGCTTAGAAAAACAGAGGGGCACTCCCAACAGAGGGGCTTCAGCCCTTGGAGAACCCTTTACTGGAATGGTACCCCAAAGTCCCCAGAAGCAGCTTCAGGGGCCCTGCTCTGGGTGGGGCACATATATAGGGGAAGGCTCCATAGAATAAGAGCGTTGTATATGTAGAAGTTCCTCAAGTTATTGCCTATAATAGCAAAAACCTACAGAAAACCCCAGCATGTTCACAAGCAGGGGCCTGGCAATGCCACTTACAGCCCATCGAGCTGAGAAACCAGCAGAGGAAGGAGGGAGAGCACGACTATTGATCTGGAAGGACCTAGAACATGTAAACTGGAAAAAAGAAAATTCCAGAATGGCACATAAGACAATCTCATTTTGGCAGTAAGATGTGAATATTCAAAGATGCATTCAAAAATTCACAGGGAAAGGAATTTTATCTGTGTTTGCAATTTTTCTATACTAATTGTGTATTATTTGAGTCACAATGTAAAATGTTTCCCGCAGAGGATTTCCAGCATAAGGCAGAACTATTAGGGTAGAATGTCAATTTTCTCAGCACCGTGACATCTCTAAAATAGAAAGTTAAATACAAAACGGGGGCGACATGGAGCAGCAATCGGGACAGACCATAGGGTGAAAGAGCAGAGTATGAAAAGGCGCGTGCACTGTGCCTGCAGTTGCATGGATGGCGCTGGGACGGGGTCAGACGCGAGCCCCAGGAGAAGGGGAGAGCGGTGGTGTTGGGATGGGCCGAGGTGAGGGTTTTTTCTGTCTTTAAGCGCTCTCTAACGGTGTAATAACGCTCTCTTGTCCCTAACCAAAACCAGGTTTACAAGACAAAGAAAAGCCAGACTGGCCTGGGCTCTGGCTTTGTGCTGGCAACTCCCACCCTCCCAGCAGCCCTGCAGCGGAGCAGCCCTTCAGCAGAGCAGCAGCGCCTCGCCGCGGCCACGGTGGGGAAGGACCGAGGCTGGTTGCAGGGAAATGGTGGCTGCTCCAGGAGCGCCCAGAGCTAAGTCCACACGTGGGGCAGGGCAAGCTGGGAAACGGAGGCTGTTGCACCTGCACAGGAACCAAGGGCACGGGAGGGAGAGGGGTGCACAAATAGCCCCCTGAGAAGAACAGAAAATCCCCCACCAAAGGGCAGGTGGGTGGCACCAAGAGAGATCAACAAGCCCACCTGAGTGTCTGTGAAAGGCGGAGGTGGAAACCCAACTTCAAGGCACGGCTCTGCCACACACACGGCTCTGGCCAAGATCCTGAACTCCTTTCTCGATTTTCCCATCTGTGAAAGGGGGATAATCCTGGGGCCTTGCCCACCTCCCAGGCTGATAAAGACTGGACTGGAGATGGCGTGGGGTCCTGGCTCTGCTATCTGCAGGCTGCAGGAACGTGGACGAACCACCTGACCCTGAATCTGAGTTTCCCACCACACAGAAGAGGCTGATGGCAGTACAGGCCTCCAGGGCTCCGTTTCTTGACCTGTGCTCACAGTGGATCCTGAAAGCAGTTTGGTGAGTCATGACCTTTCCAAACATTGAAATAAAATAGAAAATATCCGAGTACGATACACTTAGTAAGGTTTTGTATGAGTTCTGGGAACTTTTGCTTCAGTTTTATGGGATGTTTATACATGTGTGTCCTGGGTCATAGCATATAATACAGTTTTTACTATGGGTTGTAGCAAGCAGTTTCAGAAATCCTGTCTTACAGATATAATGAGATCATGTAGGTAAATGCTAACTTAGTTCCCAGCATTTCATAAACTCTCAAAAAATGTTACTTCTTATTTCTGCCAGAGGTGATAACGCTGATTCACCAGCACCTTGTCACATGGGTCCTTAAAAAGCAAGCCCAGCAGAAGAGGGTCTAGAGCCAGCGGGATTACTCTTAGGTGCTAAGCCTTCCCAGGATTCAGGGGCGAGGACCCCAGAGTACAGAGCTGGGGAGGGGGCTGGGCGCCCCCCGACCAAGGGGTCCCAGGACAGCTGACACATCTCCCCTGACAGTCTGCTAATGAAGTAAGTAGGAAGTTCAAGGCAGCACTTGCCAGCCCCAAAGAGCATTTTCCTACCCAAAAAAGGAGCCGCTCTGCTAAGTGTGTTCTTCTGCCAAAGGCTGGCACAGACAACCAAAGTCCATCTTGGTTTGGCACTACGTGTGGTTACTCAGAACAACAGAGAATGTGAGTTCAAACAAAGCCTCAGCCTTACCAAAATAAAGCCCAAGAAAGGCCTGCAGGGTTGGGCCAGGCTGATAAGGAGTGACTATTACAGGCTTGTCCCCACATCACCCGCTACTCTGGCTGCCTCTCCCTCAGGGCCGCCGACCCCACTCAAGGACAAGGCCAGCCACCCAGGAGGGGTGACTGCAGGGCACTTACTGTGCCTAGGTGCTGCAGGACCCTGGCTCCGGGGCCTGTTTCTGCTGCAGCTCCCCGAGCGCTGTGCACCCTTTTCCAGTGTGAATCCTCACCCCTGGACGCTGGTCTCGTGGCCACCCTGCAGCCCACCCTTCCATAACCCTCCCCACGAAGAAGGCCTTTCCAGAGCGGGCTGTGATTTTAGGATAGAATTCTGCATGCTGATGGAGCTGAACTTGCCTCTGCCTAGTTTCTACTGGGCTCTAATTCCTTTCTGGGGCAGGACCTACAAGAAAGCGCTCACCCATCTGGCGTCTGAGGACTTCGGTAAACGGCGAAGAGACATTCGTTGTGGTAGAGAGCGGGGAGAACAGCACCCCTGGCCTGGTCTGATTCCATTGAAAGATGGGCCATGATGATAGCTGATTGCTAAATTTACATAACTCAGTTCATCTTCACAGGAGCCCTAAGAGGTTGGTACGACCATGAGCCCATTTTCACTGAAGAACACTGAAGAAAAGAGATTGTAAATGGCCAGAGATCCATGGCTGGTGAACGGCCCTGTGTGGAGGCAGGGCCAAGGTGAATGCTCCTGCTAGGCAGATGATGCAGGCCCAGAGCTGCAGCTACCTCTGCGAGTTCTGCAGCTGGAAGGAGCACCCAGTCCTCCCACACTAGCCGGACAGGTCTGCTGCCTGCACTACTGAGCTGTCACGGGGAGCCTCTGCCAAGCCTCAGTGCAGAGCCACAGGCGGAGGACATCCCATGACCCAGGCAGGGGGGCGATACCTAAGCCCAGCCCCAGAGACATGGACACCACCAAGGGCACACAGAGAGCTGGTTCCCCCAAGCACACCAGGCCAAGGCCTCGGGGCCCAGATCCTTGTGAGGGGGCGACCTGGGATGCTCAGGGCTTTTCTCAGATTCCAGGGAAGGGGGATGTCATCTCCAGAAAGCCTGGAATACACCAAAGGGACCCTCTCAACAATGGGAGACCAACCGCATAATGCCCAGAGGGTCCAGTGCCTCCTCCTCCTCCAAGGATTCCTCAGCATCTTCGCCCTTCAGGCCCTGGATAGGAGGACCCTCTTCCGCCACTTGGTCTTGCTGCTCAAAAAAGTCGAAAGCCTCTTCATCATTCCCGGTCTGGCTGTCTGTGCCATCCAGGACAGAGGAATCTCTGCTAGTGAGCCCTGCAGCTCCTGGGGATCTGGTACCTGTGGAAGAAGACAGAAAAAATGGGACTTGGTAACCACCCCAGAGCCAGGGGAGGCATCTTGCCACACTGCACCCTCCCATGCCAGGATCTGAGGTCAAGGGCTTCCTGCAGCCTCCTGGGACCAAACTTGTCCCTCCTGGGACCTGAGCAGGAGGGAGAGTCTGGGTGGATAGAAGGTGGCCTCCGTTTCGGGGGCAGCCAAGTGCCTGCTGCAGCCCCCCAAGGGCTGATGGGCACCAAGGAAGCCTGGAGTGAAGTGGTCACCAGTGAGAGCTTCAGAGCAAGACAGGGGCAGCGGTTCCTGAACCCAAGGCCCAGAGCCTGTGTGCACAAGGATGGCTCCACCCTCCTCCTGGGTGAGCCGTGGGATAAACCAGCCAGGGCACAGAGTGATTCAACAAGAACCAGTGCAGCCAGAACCATTTACAGTCGGAGGCGTGGCAAGGAGCTCTGCAGATGGAGACCTGCTCCAAGAGTCTGGGCACCTGGACGGTGGACTGGATGGGTGCTCAGCGTAAGCATGTGGAAGATTCCAGAACAAACGGTGACCACTCCATTACAAACTGGCTTAGATCAGCGCTTCTCAAAGTGTGGTCTTCAGACAGAGAATGCCCCCTGTGTGACCACAATGAGGTAAGTACAGAAAGCGAGAGTAAGCATCCAGAAACTTCCATAGCATCCTGCCACCATCACAATACCCAAGCATGCTTTTGTATTTGTGAAAGTATCCATCTGTGACAGGCTGGGAATAAAAGAGCTAGCCCTTGCCACAGAGAGTTAGAGAAGCGTGGGCTCAGACTATTTGTTCTTCTCTATCCAAGTGCTTACTGGGTAGTTTATCTTTAAAACAACTGACTTTTAATAAAATCACATTGTAGGTAAAGAACTTAAGTGTCTGGCATCCAGGATGCACTGAGTGATAATGATGATATTGTATTATGTGATGCTCTGTTATTTTACTCGGACAAATGTGAAAAGGCCATTCAAAATCTCCCAAACCTTCAATTTCATGTCATAAGCATCTTACATTTAAACATCACAAAAGCCCTATGAGAGAGATCCCAACTGTACGTCCATCTTGGAGATGAGCAAAGTGAGGCATAGAGCAGCTTGTTTCTATCCTGCCTCTCCACAAGAGAGGGCCTGGAACATCCTGAGCATCTCTCCCGGCTATGGCTGAACTGGAACCTCTCGGCACAGTCTACCCAGCCCCAGAGATAGGCAAGGAAGGAAGGGTTGTGACCTTGGAAGAAACAAGGGCAGAAGAGAACCCAGACCCGTGCGAGGGGCACCGACATGGCCACGGGACACCTGGGCTGTGCAGCTTGTCCAGTCCTAGGCCTGTGCATTCACCAGTTTTGCTTCTCTTCCCCACCTTTCACTTTTAAAAATTTGTTTTATTTATGGTCAACTTTCTTTTGAAAACTTCCCTTCTGTCTTGTGGAACTAGGAGATCCAGAGTAGCTGGGAAAGAGTTAAGTAGATGGATGTAAAGAGGGGAGAAGTCAAGGGGTGGGAGTCCAGCACCAGCAGTGGTGAGAACCTGCCCTGCCCCGGGAAGCATCTGTGAGACCAGGGCCTACTTCACGGGGGTTCTGGGTTGACAGGGCCAAACGAGGAGTGGGATAAAATGGTAGCCACCGTTTACTTTGTGGTTGTCTCTGTTCTAAGCACTTTGCATGTGTTAGTTCAGTAAATTCTCCTAACGACCTGTCAGCCCAGCTTCTCCCACCTTACAGATGAGAAAACTGTGGCAAGAAGAGAGGGCTGGGACACCCATGGGAAGGGCCTGACGTCTCCACCACTGGGGGCAAGGGTGCTGGATCAATTCCTCAGCCTGGAGCTGTCCCCATGACTCTTTCTGTGGGGGCACAGGTGAGAGGCACATGTCCCCAGGGGCTGGTGACCAGCCTGGCTGTGAGAACACAGCTTTCCCGGGATATTGAAAGTCCCTAGGGCTGGCTGGCAGGAGGCAGAGGGGTGTGTGCGGTGTCTGTCAGGGGGTTGTATGTTGTGCATGGTCGGTTGGGGGGCATCGGGCAAGCTCTAGGAATGGGGCTGGCCAGGAAGGCCATGGATGGGGGTCACACTATGGAGAATGCCCACTGTGTGAGCCCCCACCTGACACCCAGACGTTCAGGCCCTCAAGGGCAGGCCTCCTTCTGCCCACCATCCAGCCAAGGATGTCAGTGAGGCCACCTGCCTCACCAGCCTGGCTGAAGCCTCCAGGCTGCAGGGGCAGCTGCGGACATGCTCCCACCAGGGCAGGGCAGCGGGGCCTAGTTCTGGGCGGGGCAGACCTGAGGGACATGGGGCAGAGCCTCGGGTACCTAAGAACTCTAGCAGCTCTGGGCTGCCTGCCAGCTCGGCATCCTTGGAGACACAGCGCAGGATCTCATTGAACACGGCTCTCCTCTCCCGGATGTCAGACTCCCCAACAAACAGGACCTTCCTGGGGAGCGGGGGGAGGCTGGCTGCTGCATAACGACTGCTCAGTTTCTGGTAAAACTCCTCAATCTCGCTGTACTTTTTGGAGACCTGGAATGAGAGGAGCATGTGGTTTCTTGAGTGAAGAGTGGCGGGGAGTGCTCCTTTCTCACCCCGAACAGGGGGTCCCGAGGCCCGGCAGCCACAGGAAGCGTGCCAGGCACGCCCGTCTGCTGCCCCTCCGCCTGTCTCCCGGCCTCAGGCTCCAGTCCTTAACACTCCTGGCCGATAGCAGATTCAAACATCTTGGTGGCCCAGAGGAAACATGCAATAACGGTGCCATTCTGGGCACTGTCACAGGTCCAGGTAAAAAGATTCGATACAGGGAGCCCTGCCCGGCCTGCAGGTGATCAGGGCCACTGCGTTCACTCCCAGCTTTCTGCGTATCAGGAGGGTGATCTCACCGGCTGGCAGGTCATCTTCCTGCAACACCATGAATCACCTGTTCTCAGCACCGACCTCATTCTCCCGTGAACCAGCGCAGCCTTCAGCGGGCCAGCCCACACAAGCAGTGGAGACAGATATTTCCAAGGCTGATTCTCTGCCCCACGTCAGGACCTCTGCACGCAGGCACCCGAGTGAGACAGGCCAGGACTCTTGCTGTTGTCAGAAGGTGGCCTTGAACACCATCTGACTCAGAGAGGGCAGCACTCAGCTTCCCGTGGGGCCAGTGGGTGACTCCCGCCGCCTCCTCAGCCTCTCCCCACAGCTCCTGGGCAGCTGTGGGCAGCTAAGTCTTCGCTCCTCCACTCACGGAGCTCCTGCTGCATGTTTACTCTGTACAGGGACACCCCAGCAAGCTCTCGGTCTCACAGTGGTTTCAGTCCATCACTATGTCTGTAACCCTGTGGGTGCTCAGCAAAGTCACCTGCTGTATACACACACCATCGGTCTGGCACCTACCCTCACTCCTAGCTCCTCCGTACTTTCCCCATAGACTGGGCCTGTCTACCCCGACTGAAGTGTGAATCACTCATTCTTACGCTCCCAGGCCCGGGCTGTGCCCACCGTGTGCCACTGGAGTGCTGGCGTGCAGGGGCTGTGGGCATCTGACGCCCTCTGGCTCGGGGGGATCCCTTGGTGCAGGGTGTGTCTGGAGCACACCCCTTGGCTCCAGCAACACCACCCAGAATGCCCAGCCTGCAAAGGGTCCAGATACCAGGAGGCAGCTGAGGGGACTTCAGAACCTCCAGTGGGGAGTCATCTGGAACAGGTGCTGCTTGCTGTTATCAGCACAAGAGCCTGGCTCCAGACTTTCCTGAAAACAGCCCTCAGGGAAAGGCACGTGGACCCCTTCGCAGAGCGATTGCTATAACACAGGCTCCAACAGCAGCTGACTCCAGCCCCGCCCGCAGAGCAGGCCACAGTGGGGGCTGGGCGCCCCCTGCTGGCCCAACTGCTGCACTCAGGCTCAGACCACAGACCCAGCAAACCCAGGCTTCGGGAAACTTCATCTCCAGTGCACTGGCAGCGTGAGTATCCCGGAGCTGTAGGCCTGGGCTCCCACCCCACCCGGGGCCCACGTCCATCAGGGGTTCAGGCAGGGTTTCTCGGGTGGGCTCCTGCGCCAGCAACAACAGGAGGCCAAGTAAGAGGCCCTGAGCAGAGGAAGCTCAAGGTTGAGAACTCACATTTATCCGGTACCCCCGTGTGCCAGGCACTGCTGAGGATGGGGCAGACAGCCCTGTAACTTTAGTAAGCTTGTGGGTGTCTGCACTGCTAGCACACCCAAGAGCCTGCGCAACCTCCACTGCAGTGCCCCCTCCTGGGGCCACTTTTACTCCATGGTCAGCAAATCAGTACATGTTTATATTAAAACACATACGCCCTTTTAAGTAGATACAAAACGCTCATTAATTCTTTGAGTTAAATCATGAAACATCAAAGAGACTTCAGGCTTGGGGTATGTAACTTTGGGCTCCATCCTGAGATCCCATGGGGAATAAAGGAGTTCTTTGCCCTTGCAGGCACTTTCAAATGTTTGACAAGCCCCTGCACCCACACACTCCACAGGGAGTGGGCATCACTGACTAGGAAAAAGTGGCACTAGTGTGATGTATGGAGGTGTTAAAACATCCTCACGTACACCTCACATGTAAGGTCAGCCCTCTGCACAGAACCACGTGGGCTGGGTTGAAGCCCAAGGTTCCCAGAATGCTCCCTCTTTCATGTCCGGCAACATCAAGCTCAAATACTCTCCTCTTCTGCTCCTGTCCCTGAAAATGTGGGTGCATTGAGCCCCATCCTGGGTCAAGTCAAACTACCAGGAGCTGCAAAGCACCTTGCAAAGCAGAGCCACTCTCAGAGCAATGCAGGTCCAGAATCACCCCTGACATCACACGTTGCTTCTCACCAAGAGTTGGCCACAGAAGCAATCAAATGAAAAACAGCATTGCTATTCTAGGCGCTTCCTATGACATTGTTGAATGTCCCTTAAAATTGTGTGGCTGGGCATGGGGGTTCATACCTGTAATCCCAGCACTTTGGGAGGCTGAGGCAGGAGGATTGCTTGAGCCCAGTTTGAGGAGTTTGAGACCAGCCTGGACAACATAACAAGACACTATGTCTACCAAAAAAAAAAAAAAAACAGCTGGGCATGGTGGCATGTGCCTGTAGTCCTAGATACTTAGGAGGCTGAGACAGGAGGACTGCTTGAGCTCAGGAGTTCCAGGCTGCAGTGAGCTATGATCACACCACTACACTCCAGTCTGGGGAACAGAGTGAGATCCTATCTCTTAAAAAAACATTTGTGCTGTAAATTTCTCTTAAAATTTAGTGTCTCTTTCAGCAGGTCACCAGAAAGATGCAACTCGTTTCCCTTTTTATCTTGGCTGCTAGGAGACTCCACGCTAGCCCTGTGTCACTCCCCACTGTACTACGGGGTCTAGTTCATTTCACCTTTGTCCTAATAATCCTGTACCTGTCTCTCTTGGTCTCTAGCTGCAGCTCCTTTTCACAAGAGGCCAAATGGTAAATTATAAGTGAATGAGTGTGTGATCTCAACCCTCTTGAAATTCTCTCCTCCCTTAGCTCCTGTGACTCCGTAGACATCCAGTTCTCTCCTTTCTGCCTCAGCTACAGACTCCTCTTTCTCCCCAAGAGTCTTGAACTCCTGGCATCCTCAGGATTTCCTTCTCAGCCCTTCTCTCTGCTTTCCACATCTGTTCTCTGAACAACTTCATCCACTCCCAGATTTTTAATATCACCTGCAAGTTGATGACACCCTAGCCTGCATCTCAGGCCTGAGCCTGTACTGAGCTCCAGCCTCACGTATCCATTCA